TCGGCAACCATGTGCTCGCCCCCTGCGTCTTCCAAGTGAACGAGGTCGCCGTGCTTCGCATTATGGCATCGGCAACGCGCTGCAGCTGATGTAATTTTATCGGTTGCTCCGAACTGCTTCGTCAACTCGATTGTCATTGCATAGTTGGCCCTGGCTGAGGCATTGGCGTCCCAGCCGCAGGAGGCTGCAGCCCCGACCTGAGGTGCATTGGCAAAGCGCTTGCTGCTGTTGTGCTTGCGCTCCAGCACCCAGCGCGACGGCGAGGCCACGTGCCCCCAGCGTTTCACATCGTTTGAGAAGTGGCGCATGATTATTGGACATAGCGGCTTTGCCGAAAACCGCGTGAGAGGACACCAGGATCTTATGAACGGCATCGCTCGCCTTATCCGCGTCTGCCTGTCGCCTGAATGCCCGTAGCATCTCTTCCGCGACGATCTCGCGCGCGCTTCGAACGCCGCGCAGCCCGACCGCGATGGCGTTGCAGCGCCGCGGGCAGCATCCCTGAAGTAGCGCGTCAATCCGTGCGCGTGGAAACAAGTCCGCACAGAGACGCTGCCGCGCATTCCCCCATAAATATGCATAACACTATATAGCAGCGACGCAGCGCGCGCATTACTCGGCAGGCGGAAGTGCGAAGCATACAACGACACCTGCATGGTCGCAAGGCCCTCGCTGGCGGCGTGCGCGACACGATTGCCGTCCACGTGGGACCTCGCACGCCCCCCCCCCCCCCCCCCCCCCCCCCCCCCCCCCCCCCCCCGAAAATCACGCGCGTGTCGGGGGCGACGAACGTGCGCCCAGGGAACGACCAACCTTGGATACGCGCGTCGGCGAATCCCCGCGTGCACCCGTGCTCCATCAGCGCCCGAAACAGATGCAGAACCAGGGTGTTCCTGCGTTGTGCCGCTCACGAAGATGCAACGCATCCAATCGAACATGATTGTCTCGAGCGGCCCGAGCTTCTGATCCGAGCCCGCCCAGGCAGATTTGGGCCCCAATTCCGACCGGGGCGGCGCTGCACCTCCGTGAATTTGCTCTTGTTCACGGCGTCGGCCCCGTCGCGCAACCGGCTGCAGATTGCGTCGGGCAGCGGCGCCGCCGTCGTCTGCAGCCGCGACGCGCTTGGCTCCGAGTGGTGAACTGCATCAAATGTCGCTATGTCTCGGACCTCGCCCTTCAGGAACATGTGGCGGCGCGTCGAGCGCGGTTTGAGTCTCGATGGCCCCCTGCATCCGTCCGAGCGGTGGATTGCGTCCTCTCCCGCGATCTTGCAGCGGCGCCGCAGCGATACATATATATATATATATAAATATATACATACATACATACATACATACATATATACATACATACATATACACACACATATATATATATACACGCCGTGCAGTCGCGCGCGGGGCGGCGGCGCATCCGCTGCAGCGGCTGCGTGCAAATGCCGAGGTCAATATGCGCAATCTCTTGTCGTTGGGGCGCAGCTGCAGGCTGATGCCCGCGCCGCGCCCTTGGCCAGGCCTGAACTGCCGCCGCCGCTCGAACATTTGCAATGTATCCTGGCGATCTGCAGACGCGCCGCTGGCGTGCTCTTCCGCCGTCGCATCGCGCGCTCAAGCGCCATGCCGCTCTGGGCAAGCAAATCGGCGACTGGGCGCGGGATGTCTGAACCGCGCCAAAAGTGCGGGATCAAGGCAGAGCGGAGTGCGAGTGCGAGACAGAGGAAAATTCGACGTTTGAAAAACAGGGGGTGCAGTGCGAATCTATTTCCAAAACCAACATGTTTCCAAGTGCGTCAATCTTTCTTCCAAATTACACACCCGGGCGAACGCAGTGGAATTTCTGCACATTTCCAGATCTGTATCAACTTGTGTTCAAAGTTGTGTTCGCACTTCTGCTAGCTCCCAAATCTGGTATTTCTTGCCTGTCGGCATGTCTGCATAATGCGGGTCATACTTCCAAGGAGCATGCGAAATACATCAAACGTTGTCTACTTTCTATCCGGGCGTGCAAGTCCGGGCGAAGTGCGAAACAGTTGCCGCATTCTGTCGAACGTTCTCAACCTCCGAATCCTGGCAGACTCTCTATCATGCGTTGCCCGCTTCGCAATTTCACATTTTCTATATTCATCGAACTTCGATCGGGGCCAATATTGCAATCGGGCGCCTGCTCCAGCGCGACGCGACTCAGGCGCCTTAACAATGTTCCTTTGTTTTTTTTCGCCGCGCCCGCCAGTGGAAGACGTGTCTCTCCACCTTGTAGCCGCCGCCCCCACTGGGTCGCCTCGGCCCGCGAAGGCAGCGGGGGTCTTCGCCCGGGGCGCGCGGCCCTTCTTCGGCGGCCCCTGAAACGCGGGCAGCGAGCAGCGCTGCCGCGCGAAGGATCACGTTCGACCCAGGCGCTGAGCAGTCGGGGTTGCAGCTTCGACCGCGGATGAGAAACATCAGACGCGAGCTCGCGGGGCAAACGGCCCCCGGGTGCAGGAGACGTTGCGCGTCGAGGGCGCTGGCGTCGGGGGGCTCGAGCGCGCGGTGCGGGGCGGCTCCGCGAGCCGCGCGGCATCTCTGCCGCGGCGGGCCCGTCGCCAGAGCCCGCGACGTTTCGCCCCGCTAGTTGGGGCGCGTGGCCACGACGTAGGCCGTCGGCGAGGGGCGCCGCGGAGTCGCCGCTTGCTTCCCGGGCCGTCGCGGCCCGTCCTACGACCCAAGTTTCGACTGCGCGCTCGGAGTCGTGACCAGATATGCCATTTGGACGCGGGGCAGCAGAGTCAGCCGGGGACGCGCGCAGCGGGAGTGGAGCGCGCTGAAGACTTGCATCGGCGACGACCCATCGTGGCAGATCTTCGCGGGGGCCGACCTTGGCCTGCTGAATAACGTTGCGTAGAGTTGGATGGTCCATGGGATGTCCGCATATTTGTATCGTATACGGACGATCAGATTAGCGCCCGCGCAGCGCGCCTTGCGGGCGTCGGACTGGATCGCGTCGAAGGAATGCAGCGGCGGCAGTATCGACGACTCTCATCGCATCTTGGCATCACGGGACGTCTACGGGGAACGAGCAGGTCTGGCATCGGGCCTTATGGGTTATGGGGAGGCGCCATGCCTATCAGATGCCCTCGGCAGGCGGGATGTCTCTCGGCGACGTCGGCCGACGTCAACCCGCGTTGCCGCGCGTGCGTCGCCTCCCGGGCTCCCGCGGGCTCGTCTGGCGCCGCTGCGACAGCCGCGCCAATGGCGGCGTGGGCGCGTTGGGCGAAGAGGCCGCGCCTGCCTTCTGAGCCGCCGCGAGGCCCTTGGGATCTCCGCCTTACACGTCACTGACCAGCCGCAAGTGGGCGCCACCTAGCTAACACTCGGTTGATGCGCAGGCCCTCGAGTCCCAGCCCAAGTTTCAGGAGCGGGGCGATGTTTCAGGGACCTCGGGGCCCGCGGGGGCTGCCTCCAGCCCAGCGCTTCCGAGGGTTCGAGAACTGACGGGCTGCCGTCCAGATGGCCTCGCTGCCCCGCGTGCGCGCTGCCTCCGGGGCCTTTCCCGCCGCGTCGCCGTCCGCGCGGGGCGTCGGGCCGCGGGGCAGATTTCGCGGCGGGCACCTCGCGCTGGCACGATCGTTTTGGACTTCCTGGCCGCGATGGGCGATGGGGAATCTTCGGGGCGCTGAGTCTTCTATGGGTTGCTATGCGCGCGTCTATCTGGGCTGACAGTTTTCGGTCGCAACAACAACGCCCCGCCCCCCTTCCAAGGCGCGTGGCCCCCCGCCCACCCTTCGATCCAGGGCGCCATCTACCAGGGGGGCTCCTCGGAGTTTTTGGTTGGAAGTGTCTGGGCTGAGTCCTTCGCGACGCTTGGCTGGGCGCCCCGCGCATTTTTTTTGCGTGTGTGTTTGTGTGTGTGTGTGTGTGTGTGTGTGTGTGTGTGTGTGTGTGTGTGTGTGTGTGTGTGTGTGTGTGTGTGTGTGTTTGTGTTCTCCCAGGCCTTGGCAGATGAGTCTGCGCATCGTAAGACCATGCCCAGGTTTCCTGCTTGGTCTGTTCAGTTGCTGCAAGGACAGAGGTGGGCTGGTGACCCCGGGGGCGCTCTCGCCCCCCTCCAACCCCCGCGACCCCCCTTTCCTTTCGGCCACCGGGCACATTACTTGGTGCGGCGTAGACAGGGATGAATGGCGATATCGCGACTGTGGCAGATCGGCCCGCGCTGCGGGATCTTTCAAGGCCATGCTCACACAACTGTCTACCAGGAATGACCTGCCCACTCATGTCCAGAAACTTGCCGCTGACACATGGTTTCAGGCTCGCGGCCAGCCCCTCAATCTTTATCGTAGTGCCGCTGCGAGCGTTGCCGCGCAGGCCGCTGAGCGGATCGCGCAGGGAGGGCACCATGTGCCTGGAGAGGTCCAGGGCCCCCCCCCGACTCCCGACGCCCGCAGGCCCAAGTTTTTCCTAGAGGTTGATGCCTATGCCATGCAGTGCTCAGATGTGGCGAACAGTTATGCTGTCGCGTTTGCGGTGGCCATGACACCGCTGGCTCTCTGGTCAAATTCGATGTTCGGTGCAAAAGGTTTGCCGCGAGTGCTCACACCGTGGGCGACCAGAAGATGCCCGTCCCACGGCTGGACAGCGGTAGCGCCCGAAAACGGGTTCTAAATTCGTTTGGTGGTTGTTGCCCACCCTCCCTTGTCGCCCGTCGTTGCCCCCCCCACCCCCCCGCCCACCCTCCCTTGTCGCCCGTCGTCGCCCACCCCCCTTGCCCGACGCATACGTACCATTTTTCATGCACGATGTTGCGGGCTCCGCGTCGGTGGCGGCGGGCGGCGGTTTGATTCGGGGAAGTGCGGGGCCTCCCCTTGCATCCCCCCCTGCCGTTCTGATTGTGACCTTTTTCTTTGGTTCACGTCCTTGCAGGAGGCGCAGCGATCTGCGCCTCCTTCTCCCCCTAACAGTCCCTCCCCCCTCCGCGCCTTCCTCCCCCCGCCACTCCCTCCCCCTCCCCCCACTGGACCCTGGAAAGAGGAATTCCCGCTGATCGACTGCGGCCCGCTCTTTTCGCGGCGGGGCTCCGACGCCGAGGCCCCGCGGCGGAAGGGCCCGCGCGCGCGCGAGGGGGGGAGATGGAGGGCTGTTTTGCTGCCATCATTAGCGTGGCACGCCTTGCCCCAGCCATCCGCCAATTAATGATACGAGCGAGGGGGGTGCCTCGCGCCTTCTCGCAACTCAGTCCAGAAGCCTGACCCCGTAGGCGCCGCACTCCCACTGGAAGACGGAGCGGCGCACCTCGCGAAGGGGGGGGGTCGCTTAAGAAGGGTTCTTGCATCGGCGCAGGAGCGGGCGGCGATATTCGGCCGTGGCGCTGGCATGGGGCCTTGCCGCACGCGTGGACAAGCTGAGGGAGAGGGAAAAGATGAGGGGAGGGGGGGGGGGATGAGGAGATTCGAGGATCCATGTTCGATGTGAAGGGGCGTGTTTCGGCCTTCTGGGGGGCATTCGGGAGGTGTCACGGCTGGATGCCTTTCGAACCTCAGGCAACAAGAAGCGCACACTTCGAGAAATGTGGGGGTCGGTTCTCGAGGGCCGACGGAGGAGGAGGAGGAGGAGGAGGAGGAGGAGGAGGACCAGTGGAAACTCCAAACGCATCAACGATATTGCAATTGACCCTCCCTCCAAGTCCCCTCTTCCAAGGTTCCTACAATACGTGTTTTTCATTGCGGGGGGTGCTTCATTGGAAAATAACGTTTTGAACATCTTCAGTCGTGCCAAAACACAAGTCTCGGGAGTTCAACGCCGCGAATCAGCGTGACAGTTGCGTCCTGACAAGCCTTCATCCTACCAGAACGCCGCTATTGGGACCCCATCGCCGCGAATCAACGTGAATGTTACCTCCTGGTGATCCTCAATTACGTCCTGCCAGCATTTTTCCTGGTATTTCAACCATACGAACCCTCCAAACTGGTTGAGAATTCAATACGACGGCGCGGGTGGCGAAGGTGAACGCCACATTGTCAAAAGGAGCCCACCAACCGGGGATAGCGGGTACCAGTCAATATTGAACAAGGTACGCGGTGTCGGAAATACAGGTCTACGCTGGCACGACGGGAACCGCCCGTGCCCATGTGCGTAGGGCAAGCTCCGCCACTGTTCAGTGGATCCTCCAGGTTCCTGGGGCCATCAAGTGTGCGTCTCGAGGCCGCCCTGGGCCGGTGGCGGGCCGTCGCGGGCCGTCCTGCGGTCGTCTAGGGAGTTCTCGAGCCCTCTTGAGTCAGCCCTGGGGCCGCCTGCAGCCTCTCAGGGGCCACCTGGGGGCGTTTCAGAGGGGGGGGGGGTCCTGCTCCTCTTCTTTCGCTCGCTCGCCTTGTCTTCTCTCTGCTGCATTGTAATGTGTATGTTAGCGAAGGGTGTCTAGTTCGTGGCTCTGTGCTTCGTGTGCGTTCTGATCAAACGCGGCTGTCCAAACGCCCCTAAAACTGAAAGGGAGTGCGTCTTCGATGGATCGAGGGGTTGACGCCTCTTCTTCGGTGGAAGGCAGGCAGGGGCCAGCGGGAGCAAGGCGATGGCGGGTGCCGCCGGCGGGCGCGGCTTTGTGTGAGGCCACGCGCCATGCGCACGGATAGCTTGCGTCTTGTTACCATGACTGGTCGACCTCTCATCACCGCCCACCAAACCACCCCAACCCAACCCGAAGGCCTCGATTCGCCCTCCATTTCCAGTGGGGGGGAATGAAGCCCGTACCCCTCCAACCCGAAATTCGGGTCTTCGGGTTGGGTTGGGGAGGTCTGGTAGGTAATTAGTCATCTCAGGGGTTGCTGCTGACAGTCCCTGGGAGGCATCGTGGCGCCTCATGGGGGTTTCTTCGAGCATCTTTGGTGCCTCTTGGCCCTTTCGGAGGCCGCTTGGGCCCCACTGGGGTTACCTTCCAGCATCTGGGAGGGGCCCTGGGGATGCCTTAGACACGTTTTGGGCCCCCTTTGGATTATTGCTAAGGCCTCACGGCCGGTGCCGCCGACCCTGAAGACGGCGACGACGAATACGAGGAGGAGGAGGAGGAGGGGGACTCAGGTGGAAGGGAGTAGGAGAAGGCGAAGGAAATGTTCCCCATGTGGGCCGAGGGAGCCGTAGCAGAGACAGACAGGGAGCCTTGTGGCCTGCGGCCCTTCCCGCCACCGTGCTGGGGGTTGAAAGGCCTCTAGGATGTTTTCGGGCCTGTCGGGGCCTCTGTTGGGCCTCTTGGGGGTCTCTTGGGGGCCTCTTCGGGCCCCTTGAGGAGCTCTTAGGGCCTTCCGGGGGCTTCTTGGGGCGGGAAGCTCGAAATGTCGGTTCGTGGTCCTCTTCTTGAGCCTGCTTCGGGCCCTCTTGGCGCGTCTTGGCGCTTTTTGGGGCTCCGGGACGCCCAGGGGCCGATGCGTATCTGACCTTCCCCTCCCCCTGGGACTGGAACCCCCGGGGACTCCCCGGGACCCCCCCCGGGACCCCCCCTGGATCCCCCCTTCCCTCGGCGGGGATGGGATCAAAGGGAAGGGGCTTCCCTTCGACTTAAATGCGACGTTGCTACGGTTTTCTCGCGCTGGCAGGCTTGAAGAGGAGGGCGCAGGAAAAGGGGACGACGGAGACGCAGGGAAAGAGGACAACGGATGCGTCGACTGAGCGTACGCCGACAGGGGGTCCACACGCCGACATCGTCGGCGGATTTTGTGCTTCTTTGGGCGTCATGGCGTGTTATGGGCCGTCGAAGACGCTGCGGGGGAGACACGGCAGGGAGGGCGGTGTACGATGAGGAGGGCCCAAAAAGTGTTGGACACCCAGCTGGGCAGCTGTGGCATGATGACAGTAAATTCCGTGCCAGGAGGCACCATGGAGGAAGATGAGTAGCAACAGTGGGACGTGATGACGCTACTCTTGATCCCCAGGGGAATAACCCTCGGCCAGGCAGGAGGGAATGATTCTTCGTGAGAGTACGTTGCCCCAGACAGTCCCACGACCACAGCAGCATGCCAGAAGGTAAGGACTGCAGAAAGTGGCCTTCCCCCTGCTCCTTCTCCGGTGAGGTCGCGCGAGCAATCACCATCGGCACCATGAGGGACGCACTGGAGAGACGCGGGTTCTTCTATGCCGCTGGCGGGCGGGGTGGCAGGGTCGACTTTTGCTGACGGACGACCTCAGCTGCAGCCAATGGCTTGACTAGGACTTGCCCTGCTGGCTGACACTTCGTCTCTCTCTCTCTCTCTCTCTCGCTCCCTCTTTCTCTCATTCGAAGAAGACAAGGATGCATAAGCATATACTTTCGGAGGCTCGTGCGGATTTCTTGGATTGGGAAGGGGCGTGGGAGAGGACTTTGAGGAGATGAATGGTAGCGACATGCCGTAATGAACCACACTATCCGATGTCATTAACGTTGCCCCAGGACGTTGATTTTCAGATTTGGGAGAGGCACCCCTGGTACGGTATGCATTGGTAGTTGCACCTTTCCACGGAGAGAGCGAGAGGAAGGGGATAACACACAGTATGTCGGGTGGAGATTGGAGGCAGTGAGGCCTCTCGGAGCCTTGCAGGGAGGAGTGGGGACAATTCCAGTACAACATGTCGAATTAATTTAACTGTTTAGGTTCAGTGAATTTGTAAATCCGAATAAACTAGATCAATAAAACAACTTCAACGTACTCTGTTTATTAAATGTATTTAATTCATTTACATTGAATAATGCATTACATGTAAAACCATTCAAATTATTCAATATATTTAATGTGCTTCAAACAAATGTATGATCTCCGGCATCCCTGGCGGAGATTCTGGCCAGCCTCAGAAGCAGCATCATTAATTTAATAGCTTTAAGTAACCCTGGCTGGTTAAGAGAATAAGCTGTATACATAAATAAGTTAGATAAGTAGGGTGGCCCCCTGAGGTCCACCGGAATCTCCGCCAGCGAGGCCGAAAGATACATTCAATAACGTGAATAAATTATAAAAATGGAAAATTAGCATCGAACTTGACTTATTTAATTCAATCATACGGAGCAATGAGGTAACTTGTGTATATATGTGTGTATATATATATATATATTCAAATCACATAGTTGACCTAATTTATTTAATTCATTTATATTGAACAATTGCAGACATCGAAGAAATGCAGTTTATTTAATTCATTTAGCTAATTTAATTTATTAAATTTGTTTAAAGCTCATGTGATGTATTTTCGCCAGCCTCCCGTGCAGAGAGTATGGCCTGACTCGGGCGCAGCATGAGCAACTCAATTTATTTAACTAATCCTGGCGAAATAAGTGAATCCATTGAATAAATAGGACGGCCCTCTGAAGTTCGCCGGGATCTGCGCCAGCGAGGCCGGAAAGTAAAGTAAACATTTCAAAATAAGTTTAACAAGCTTAATACACTGAATACATCGTAATTGAAAATATTTAGTTCATTTGATTCAATCATACGGAGGAAGTAAGTACACTAAGTCAGTTCAATTAGATAATCTTCATTATATATCTGTATAAAAGAGTTCATTCATATTGAATAATTGAGTAAATCAAACTCATGCAATGTATTCGATTTATTTGATTGATTTATTTCTGTATTTGATGAATTGTTTTTTTCCCTGGCTCCCCTGCCAGAAATTCTGGCCAGCCCCGGGCGCAGCAGAATCATATTCATGTGTTCAATTAAATAATTTACATTTAATAGATATGGTGGACCCTTGAGGCCCACCGGAATTATTGCCAGTGAGGCCGAACCATGAATTACAGAGGTTAAATACATTAAATGCATAGATTTGTAATTAATTGATAAATCTGATTTATTTCATTAGTTTTCTGGGCTCCTACCGTAGAGCCTCCGGTGAGCGCTGAGACCAGCAGACTTAATTTATTACATTGAATTAGTATATACATATTAATTAAATTGATCAAAATGATTACATTAATTATGCTGCCTTCCGCGCTCGCCAGAGCGTGTGGGTGAGGCACAGAAACTGATCAAATTAGTTAGCTTTGTTTAATTCACATGTAGTGGTTAATAATACAAATTAAATGTAGTATGCTGCTCGCCGCGGCTTCTCTGGATGTGAAGCTGAGATTTTCAGATGCACCATTCACAGCGTTTCCGAAGCACATGTTTGTAGGCAGGTTTCTCAGGTAACATATGATACATCACACATTTGCGAAATAACATATTTGCCCGATCGCGAATAACATATTCACACGTGTGCGCGATAACAGACTTGTCCGATGCTGGCTTTGCCGGATGACAGGCATGCCAGATTCCCAGGTTTACCATCTACCAACTTTCCAACACACTGAACACTGAACTGCATAAAACATATGGCCTATATATGATGTTTGCTAAACCGTATGTTTGTCATATATTTGTTTTGCCCGTAGACGACATTCGCACGCTTGCATTCCCAAAAATGTGTTGTGTTCAACATGTGTAAGACAGTCAGCTTGCCCCTTTAATATATTTACTTAGTAACATATAGTTGCTGCGTTTTTCATATGTACCATGAACCATGTGCCGGATGTGCCATGTACCGCACGTGCCATGTACGAAATACCAAGTGTGTTATTTATGATATTTGCCTTGTACCGGATGTGCTTGAAAACGTATGTATCATATACCAGATATGCCAGATGACATACACCATGTGTGTATATCCGGAATATTTTATCGGCTTGGCAGAAGAGTAGGAGGGGGAGGAGCAGGAGGATGAGGAGGACTATCCAAATACGGAAACGTGGGGAGAGGAAGAAGAGTGGGCCCGGGGGCGGAGTCCGGGGGGTCAGGGGAGTCCGGAAGGGGGTGGGGAGGTGCAGGGGAAGAAAGGAGGGGGGCAGAAGCGCCGGGCGGCGCCGACGGATCGAAATCAGGTCTCCCCCAGCCGCGCGGAGAGGCAGAAAAAGGCGGGGCAGGGAGAGACAGGGCAGGGGCGGAGGCGGGGCGCGGCCACCCGCGAGCGCACTCACGGCGGAGCCGGCCGTGCTTTCTCAGGTCCCCAACGCAACGCAGCTGCTGATCAGCGCGAACCTCGGCCGCGCGTCCACTTTGAAGTCCGCCTGGTCGCCCTTCGCGGCGTCCAGAGGGGGAGGGCGTGACGTCAGGATGCAGTATATATTCACAAACTCCCGATCAACCGCACGGCCGAGTAGTTAGAAATCATATGCCTGTGGCGAGCTGGAGTTTGCACGTGTTGCGATACGCGTTTGTCTGATCGCAGAGTTCTCACATGACAGATTTGCAAGATACTTGGTTTTCCAAACGACAGGTTTGCCTGATAACAAGTTTGCCAGAACGGCCGGCACATTTGCACGTTTGCAAGATAACGGACATACCAAACTCTATTCTTGACAAGCGATCATATTGGGAGAATCGGCAGCTTTCGGAAAGTCGGTCACCACCGGGGGCGCGAAGATGATGGCGCATCGCTCGCTGTGGACCGGACCAGAGACCTACCCTCCTCCAAGGCAGCCTCCCGGCCACGCGATGACCTCGCAAGGGCGCGAAGATAACCGTGCGGGGCGCTGCCTCCCTCTCCCCCTTCCTCGTCGTTGTCGCCGTCGTCCTCGTTGTCGTCGTCGTCGCCGTCGCCCTCGCCGCCGCCGTCGCCGCCGCCGTCGCTGCCGCCTCTTCGCCCTCCCCCGATGCTTCTGCCTTGGCAACGTTGCTGTTCGGAGTCGGAGCAGCTGGGATTTTCGCCCTTGTTCTGCTTCGCCCGTCTCGCCGCCGTGTCGTTCCCTGATTGGGGGGTGGAGTTCCGGGCGGCGCGCGCAAAGCCGCAACCTGCGGACCTCGCCCGGGCCGCGACGAATTTTTTACGGGCGCAGCCCGTAATTTGATTTTCGCGAGGTAGACAGACTGAACTGAACCACCAGGCCGTGAGATGGCAGTTTGATTTCCGCGGGTGAGGATATTTCGGTGGCAGTTTTAAGCCCGCGGGCGAGGATATTTCGGTGGTGACTTTTTTATGCCAGCGGGTGAGGACATTTCGGTGGCAGTTTTATTTCCGCGGGTGAGGATATGTCGGTGGCAGTTTTAAGCCAGCGGGTGAGGATGTTTCTGTGACTGCGTGAGGACATTTCGGTGTTTCAGCGGGTGAGGATATTTCGGTGGCAGTTGATTCCCGCGGGTGAGGATATCCTGATAGCAGTTTAAGCCAGCCGGTGAGGATATTTCGGTGGCAGTTTTCAGCCAGCGGGTGAGGATATTTCGGTGGCAGATTTATTTCCGCGGGTGAGGGTATTTTGGCGGCAGTTTTAAGCCGGCAGATGAGCATATTTGGGTCGCAGTTATACTCCCGCGGATGAGGATATTTCGGTGGCAGTTCCAAGCCAGCGGGTGAGGGTATTTCGGCGGCAGTTTCCAGCCAGCGGGCGAGGATATTTCGGTGGCAGTTTCAAGCCAGCGGGTGACGATATCTCGGTGGCAGTTTTATTTCCGCGGGTGAAGATATTTCGGTGGCAGTTTTAAGCCAGCGGGTGAGGATAGTTCGGTGGCAGTTTCATTTCCGCGGGTGAGGATATTCCGCTGGCAGTTTTTGGCCCGCGGGTGAGGATATGTCGGTGGCAGTTTTAAACCAGCGGGTGAGGATATTCCGGTGGCAGTTTTATATCCGCGTGTGAGGATATTTCGGTGGCAGTTTTAAGCCAGCGGGTGAGGATGTTTCGGTGGCTGTTTTAAGCCAGCGGGTGAGGATATTTCGGTGGCAGATTTATTTCCGCGAATGAGGGTATTTCGGTGGCAGTTTTAAGCCGGCAGATGAGCTTATTTGGGTAGCAGTTTTATTCCCGCGGATGAGGATATTTCGGTGGCAGTTTTAAGCCAGCGGGTGAGGATATTTCAATGGCAGTTTTCAGCCAGCGGGCGAGGATATTTCGAAGGCAGATTTCAGCCAGCGGGCGAGGATATTGCGGTGGCAGTTTCAAGCCAGCGGGTGACCATCACCCGCTCTATATCACCCCGATAACACCCGATAACACCTCGATAACATGCTTTCGAGATGCGTTCGAGATGTTATCGAGGTGATACCGAGTGTGATCGAGCTCGGTAACGCTCGAGAGCACCTCGATACCACTCGATGACACCTCGATAGCATGAGGTGTTATCGATGTGTTATCGAGTGTT